TTATTTCATGCTCTATAATTTTTCTTTTCGTTACAACATAAAAAATAACCTATACAGAAGTGACAAGTATTACTTGAAAGTAGGTTTATACTCACTTGGTGTTTCCAATTTCAAAAACAAAGCATTTTTGTATATAATATAAAGATTAGATTAAACTACCAACAAGTAGTTTCACGTCTCTTTATAATGTAAATAGTGATATATATGTGCCAGACGACAAAGGGTTAACTGAAAATTGTATACAAATGTTTGCTGTTAATAATAAAGTAGTATACATAAGTATAAATAATTTCTGAACTCGGTAATAAGTTGATAATGAAAAGCAAATAATAATTCTACACAAGTTTTCTACGGAAAATTTAAAGCCCATTAAGTATTTATTACCGTATCAAAATGGAGCTGCAATTTCGCTTACAGATTTATTATGCCGTTTGGAAATTAAACTATTTATTAACTGTGAGAGTTGTGGGAATGTCTTCAGTTTTCTCACGTACAACACTTGCATCCAATTTAACATGGAAAAACGTGCAAACGAAAATTATTATTAAATCAGTCTCGACGTTATCATTAAGCTGCATTAAAATTACCATACAATTGAAAATTTACTGCAATCGGAAACAGTACTTTTATAAATGAACGATAATGTTTTCATTTTCAGTCAAAGTTGCTGCTATATGCTATTACCTTCAGTATTAAGTATTTAAGTCTCGTGAAGGAGGCTCTGGTAAGTATGTAGATGTGCTATAAATCTTCTGTGAATTTTATAGCGTTTTTAAGTGAAGCTGCATATAAGAGGATTACTAATTTCTTTTATATAAATCAATTTTTATTTCTTTTTCGTTGTCCGAATATATTATTCACTTTTATTATTTATTTCAACATTACATGCGTGTATTAATGTAAATAAAATTCTTTAAATACTGAAGAACAAAAGCATTATAAACCAAAAATTATTACGTAATGTAATAAAAAATAATAATCCGATTTATCAAGTTTTAGCTTGATTTTGATTGCTTTTGATATATTTTCGAGCTCATTGAAAAATCAATTAATTTATTTCCATTAAAATTATTTTAGGTTTTTAATTTTTTTTTTGTTTGTTTCGCCGCATGACTAAACGTAAAGTAATTAAAATGTCCATTTCATTATTATAATCTACCAAAAAAAATGCGGAAGGGTGCATTCTCTTTAATGAATTTACATAATGAATTTGTTTCATAAAATGTTATTTTTTTTTTTAAATATTCTCGAGTTATAAATTTTCTTTTTCCTATTAATGTGAGTAAACTAAAGCACTATTTTGTTGTTTTGTAGTGAATTTTCAGCTCATGTACCACATCAAACAGTTATAGTAAAGTTATTTTACAAATATTCAATGTTTTTATTAATTGCTTACATTCAATTCAGAAAAACTATTGATTTTAAATTCCGGTTCGAAATAAGTTGAATTTTTATGTTCGACTCGTAACCTTTCTTGTTTTTACCTCTCTTGTCGTATCTCTCCTATGTATATATTTTATAAAAGTTAGTTTAAGTTTAGTTTAATAGTTATTTTTTAGTTTCGTTAGAAGCAAGTTTTGGTTTTATTGGAAGAAGCTGTTTACTTTAATTATTGTGGCGGAAGAAGAAATCCGAAGAAGTATTATTTTGGTTTTTGTCCTTTGAACAGACAGACGGAAGTCAACTGAAGAAGTGGGAAGGAAGAAGAAGAATTGATTTTAATTAGTTATTAAAAAAAATCAATGGTTTATAAATATTTACCTTAATTGTCTGCATTAAATAATGGATAACAAATAAAATTTACAATACAAATTATGGTATAATTTACGATTTCATGCAAAGTAATTGTGAATTTATCAAGATCAAATATGGTGCGCCATCTACGCGTAAAACTCTGGATCACATCTAAAGTTCGAGCTGTGACCGTTAGGAATCCAGTTTCCGGACCGGAGGTTCAACGGCCTGTTCTGCAGAGGGCGTGCCCTGTACCAAAGACTCATCATTTCAAACAATAGAATTTGCATACGTTAAATACATAAATCCGTCAATATTGCACTTAGTAAATACATCATTTACTTAACGAGGAGCAAACAAATTACACGTACAATAACAATGAAGATAAAGAGAACTTATTACTGGGATTGTTTATGAAACATTTCGAGTTGTTTAACGTATTAAATGTAAACACCAATATTTGCATGAAGTGTTTAAAGTCTTAGCAATGAATAAATTGCACAGTAAGAAGATAAGAACTACTATTCTAAAGGTAGAAGACGAAATAAAAACGAAAAGTATTTATCTTCGCGTGGAATAGAAACAATTAGATAGAGGAAGAACGAGGCAGAAAGATAAAAGCACATGCATATACAACAAAATACAAGACGAAGTTTTCGAATGCAAATTACATCCATTCGTTACGTCTCATTACCGGTTCGTATGCTTCGATAAACAGAAAGATTTTATCCGCGACAAAACATAAAGGTAATAATTATTTTCCTTTTGTTTAATACGTAAAAGGATTAGATTTTATTGGAATTAATTGGTACCTAATGCTGTTGAATCAACGGACAGGAGCCCATTTATCACGAAGACTGAGATTTCTTTTAATTAATGTTGGATGTAATTTATGATATCTACAAGCCGCGACTATTTAAAGATACTTGGTCATTAATCAGTGTTACAATAAAAATGGAACAAATTTGTTGTCACGTTCTCCGCCTCATATCACGGAAAATGAGCGCCGATTTCGTAATCAATCACGAAGTTTTCCACGTAATTCATTGGTGCCGAGCTGCAGTAGTTCACTTTGGTTAACTTTTATTACCCTGCACCATGTTTAGCAACATCAAAAGATCCAGACAAAACCAGTTTGCTTTCCCGGTAAAACTATTTCTATAATGCACACATGGAACACGGTCCATTATTTTTGCAAATTTTTATTGCAGATCAGGTTGATGTCTTCCTTCCTCTCAACAACAACAACAACCCGAGTTTATTTCGTGATTAATATTCTCCGAGGGGTGTGCAAAATCAATAATGCCCCCTTTTTTTTAAATGTTATTCCCAGAGCTTATTAATTTTAACATCCTGTTTACACCACATAAAAACACCAAATCTATTGTTCGCATCCCTCCCACAAGACGACATCTGCCCCGAAATACTATAATAATAATAAAAAAAAATTGAGTATATTGCATGCCTTTATTATTTATGGTTCAAAGGCACTTTTGCACCGTATCAAAAGGACTTTTATCTTTTGTCTATCGTCATTGATGAAATCATAATAAATTTTGGGGTGGCGATTGGCGAAAATCTCGTTCATTTCTGTCGTCAGACCAGCACACAATTGACCGTAGCGAACAATTAATTTAAACAATTCAAATAATCGCACTCAGCGAAATCCAATCTCTCTAATTCAATGGTCACGCAATTCGGCAAATTTCGAATTAAGGAATTACGTTCCTTTTTTTTTCAGTGTCCTCTCATCACCGTTCAATTTGAATGGAATTTCATTAACTACATTTAATTGTTAAATTCAAGCAGAGTAATTTACCGATTTACGCATTTCCTTAATTGAGACATAAATAAATCTAGTGTCTACACTTTACGAGGAAAATATGGTTGTTTCTCTAATAAATCATCTTCTAATAGTCACTTTAGTGAAATGTTTAAAAAACTTGAGAGTTTGTAATTAAATATAATCAACATTATATTTAATTACTAATCAACTTTATATTTAATTACTAATAAAAATTTAATTGATTTCATTGACATAATTAAAAAAACAAAGAAATTATATTTTTAAGAATTATCAAAGGAAGAATAATCAACTTCGTATTGTATTTGTATAAAATATATTTTGTTTACAAAAAAGGGCATTAAATAGTTTTGGTGGTGGGAACTAAATATATTGTATACAAATTTATCATAGTAACATATTTTAGGATTTAAAATTTAGATTAAATAATATATCTCTTTTAATAGTCACTTTACTGAAATGTTTAAAAAACTAGAAAGTTTGAAATTAAATATAATCAATATTATAATTAATCACTAATAAAAATTTAATTGAAAAATAATGGAATTAAAAAAAACAAATAAATTATATTTTTAAGAATTATCAAAGGAAGAATAATCAACTTAGTATTGTATTTGTATAAAATATATTTTGTTTACAAAAAAGAGCATTACATAGTTTTGGTGGTGGGAACTAAATATTTTGTATACAAATTTATCATAGTAACAAATTTTAGGATTTAAAATTTATATTAAATATATCTCTAGTGTAAAGAATAATTGCAATTAGTTTGATTAAGGATAAGTTAATTAAATAGCACAAATTGTAATTAAAATGATAATCAAGAGTTTCTATAGAAAGTATGATCTTTGTTTACATGTTTGTAGATGTTATAGAATATAGGATTCGAGGTGACATAATCTATAATTAGTGAAAGCAAGTAGACTGACACTTTGAAATGTGTGAGTGTCGTTTTTTGTTTGGATGAATGCCGATGAGGCAAACATATTTTGGAATTGTATCAAGAATTTTCGCTTTGATCATTGGAATTTCTTGGAGGACGTTTCCTTTTTATTCGATCGCGATAAAATGGAATGCATGCAGGAGAAATAATCGTTATCGTCAGACTAGAATCTGTACATAGAGTAAGCCCATAAAATCAGTATAAAGTCACTACGGCCTCTACTTTACTTTTTATTTTTCTTTTCAATTCCGATCCATTCTTTTCTCTTCGCTCTTTTGAATTCCTACATTTTTATTTTTTCACAAAGTTCTTTTTTGCAAGACCGTAATTACGTCCCGCGAACACACAAAGTGAATTAAAAAGAGCGATTTTCCCCACCGAGTCTCCGAAACGAAACTGATATAAATCCCAGTTTCACTCTTTATTATCGATAACTCGAGTAGCAGAGATTAACGAAGTTTATTAATTAAGAACGGTTGCGTTTTATTTTTGGGAAGATAACGTAATCGATGAACTTACTTGGAGTTGTTGTTGTTGGCGGATGGCATGGGGGTTGGAATCCTCGGTGGTAGAACGGGGACTGCCGTGCGCCTTTTCCCATTAGACGGATGGTTCTTGCGGAATTCCATGTCTTCTGAAAGTAAACCATGATTTTATTTATGCAATGAAGCGCACTTGATCCAAATTACCACAATCTGAATCAATACCCACACTAGTTTAACAAGTTTAGAATCAATAGATTTATGTTTGCCAGAGATATAATAGATATAGGGTAAAGGTCAATTCAGTAAAACGAACACGAGACAAAATAAGCAACCCTGTTAACAAATTTATATTTATTTTAAACGGCGCAATTAGTGCAATTCCTGGACTTGGCCAGGCGTAACATGGGGGTAACAGTTTCGGTCTTTGAAGTGTTGATACAAGTAAAAATAGTATAGGGGTGGATTGTTATTTATTTTCCCCAACGTAGGACTACAATAACACCAAACCCATTCAAAGCTAAGTCCGTGTATAATGCTTTTGATATGTCCCGTCGATAAACACACGCACGTATAAATACATGCTGTATACTGGACAGGGGAGAATCGTTCCATTCCATCCTGAATTGCGGTGACAAAACCCCGCGATTAAGCCTCGTGCAGAGAGATCAGGAATGGAGAAGGAGAAGGTGATGCATTGTCGCGACAAATCCCAGAACTTTTTCATCTGGCTCATCTTCACAATGCGCAGACGGGAATATTTCTGCACAGGAACACAGAAACTTAATATTACAAAGACGTGCTTTTAACCACACCGAATCCATATGCACGTTCCCAGTTGCATCTCCTCTTATGCAACAAACGCAGACACACTCTTTCTTAGTTGGAATTGCTACCACCTTATGCATCGGATACAAACATTCACTTCTGCTCATGTACTTGTTTTCTATCTTTCTCCCACCTAAATAGAAAGCGAAAATGTCATTATTTCCAAGCTCTTCTCTGAAGTAGTACGCTTTGTGTGCAAATATAAAACATCCCAGCACTTTCTATATACATACATGTACATTGTAAATATTGAGATAATAAAACCTTCAATAATCAATTTTATAATTCTGTTATTAATTTCATTTGTGGCTTTTTTTCAATAAATAATATGAAAAAAAATCAGATTTATATATCATATTATACTAATATTAAATTATCATATTGGTTAAGATTTTAAATTCTTCACAATTTGAGAAGAACATAAAAAATCCGTCATGGAAAATCAAATTCATTCAGCAAACAGAAATACACTTACTTTTCTTTTACTACAAGCGAATCTTCAAAATTAACTAGAACATTATATATTTAAATTATCGCCTATATTTATCCCTGTCATCGACACAAATCGTTCCACTCATTTTTATTGATTGTTCTTGAGCATTTTCATAAAGTTGCATCAAAATTAATATAATACAAAACATCCCAGCACTTACTATATACATACATGAACATTGTAAATATTGAGATAATAAAACCTTCAATAATCAATTTTATAATTCTGTTATTCAATTTCATTTGTGAGCTTTTTTCAATAAATAATATGAAAAAAATCAGAATTATATATCATATTATACTAATATTAAATTATCATATTGGTTAAGATTTTAAATTCTTCACAATTTGAGAAGAACATAAAAAAACCGATCATGGAAAATCCATTCAGCAAACAGAAATACACTTACTTTTCTTTTACTACAAGCGAATCTTCAAAATTAACTAGAACATTATATATTTGAATTATTGCCTATATTTATCCCTGTCATCGACACAAATTGTTTCACTCATTTTTATTGATTGTTCTTGAGCATTTTCAAAATTAATGTTCTGACAAACTTTCAAATTGTAACTACTTATTATCATTATTATATTAACTATCATTGCCAACTACTTCTCAAAAACAATTTGAAACGAAGAAAAAGTAGTAAAACTAACACAAAATCTTATAATTATACAATTTGTGTTACTTCTCTATGATATATTTACAGTAATATGAATGAAGAATTTATTTATTTGGTTGAAAAATGTTACTAATCTATTTTTTTTTTGATGAGATGATTCCGATTTTGGTATGTTTTCAGCTGAGAGACGAAAAGCAATTAGCAATTAAACGTAACCCATAAACCTGTCTGCCGTAATCCCACTATTTTGCAAGGGGTGCGGATTGATCATCACCCATAAGAGGGGAGAAGAGTGACAAAACCCGTCTGCATTAGTCGACCGCCTCTCTTCAACAACTTTCACCCTATGCAGACGATGCAGTTGCAAGGGTCATAAGACTTGCAACGCACAAACAAATGACCTTAAAACATACACACACACTGTAGTTCCGCGTCGAAAACAAAAAATGCTTAAGCAGAGGAGATGAATCCACGATTTTTTCTTTACGCCCGATAAACTTCCTTCATTTGGGTAATTTGTCTTTAGCTTTAGGAGCGGGGTTAATGAAACAGAAGATGAAATCTGTCGCTTCGTGGAAACTTTCTGTGGACCGAAAAGAAATATGACTCGTTGAGCAAATAAAGAATCGACTACTACTACTACTACTTACTTCTTCTTTCAGCTACAGCCGGAGCAAAGAAAGAAGAAAAAAAAAGTCGCACAAATAAACTTTTTCCTTCAATCTTCCGTCGCGGGTGGAAGCACAAATAAATAATAAAATGTTCGAGGGAAATGTAAGCTGTATCGTGGCCCATTTGGGTTTTTTTTTGTAGATTGCGCCGTGAATATAATATGCTGTATTTGAATTAAATTATTTTTGATGGAGTGTAAAAGTAATACGCGACCAGCCTGTGTTCGATGCATGCGAAAGATAAATGGCGTATGTGCGTGAGTCCGATAAGTTAATAACTTATATATTTCATTCAGGAGGGTTGATTAAGCCGACTGGGTTATACACATTTCGATGTGATTAATGTCGACGACCATTAAAAAAATGTTCGTAATTAAAAACTGCATTATCTACTATAGTTGCAACGTGATGCAATTTAAAATCATTGCATCTATTATTGAAATACAAAATTCTAATAAATTATTAGACAAAACTTAAATTATAAATTTAATGCCAAATATTAATATCTATTTTTTCTGTCTATAGAACAAATTAATATTGAATTTCATTTCATTTCATTTCAAAATAAATGTTTTAATATAAATTAGTAACTGAAACTCATTAAAATTCCAATTAATAATAATTAAGATATTTCGTTTTAATTCTTGTTTCTCCCTGATTCAGCAATATCATAATTATAGAATTAATAATCCAATTAAGGCCGAATACTTTTATGACCCCATGAAATAGGAAGGAGATACGGTTTTTTTTCTGGGAAAAAATATAAATTGAAATTTGTAATAATCTCATCCGCCGCGACGTTATTATCAACGTCTGGCAGCTGTTGGAAGACATTTAAGACATTCACTGATAAATTTCTATCCGTTCTTCGAAAAATAAATCCCAGATAAATTGAATAGTTTCATATTTCAAAACAATCGCATTCTCAAATTCGAATTCATCACATCACATGTTATAATTGCTTTTTATCTGACGTTTTAATAATCGTGTATTCTGGAAACATTCCATCTTCGTCTCAGGAAAAGAAAAGAAATAATAATACTGTAAACCATCATTTATCAATAGCAACGCAGGGATGATTAATGCGAAGTTTTCGTCTAAAGTTTTAGCGTATTTCCAATAAGCCTCACCCTACGCCAAAAACTTGCATCACAAGTAAGCTTTCAGCAAGTAAATTGTTATAGGTAACATATTCACGATTTCTTATGGCTTTCGCGGCTGAATTCCGGAGAGCTGCAAACTAGATATGCATGCTCGTAAATCTTCGGTTGGTTCTTGTAAGTAAACTATTGATAAAATGAGAAGGAATGCCTTTCTTCAGTCGCATTCCATTCAAATTGAAAGCATAGCGCCCTTTCAATGCACAGACACAAACCAAAGGCTTGATTTAATAGAATCCATGTGCCGTCCATTTGATAACAAACAACATGTGTGGCCGACAAACTGAATTCGAGCTGCATTTTATTTCATACAAAATTGTACGTTATCCAATTACAACCGGTATAATTAGAATCGAAATGCATTCGTTTGTATTATTTCATTTTAAATAAAATTTTACAGTTTTTTTATTTTAATCGTGACATTTTTTTTTTGTTTATTTCATCGGATTACATTAATTGGTTCCTACAAAAATATATACATGTGTATTATTTACATATTTACTAATGAACATTTTCTGTTTCAATAATAAACCATTTACCATTTTCACAAAATAATAAATTATATGGAAAAAACAAAATTAATGAAATTATTTTTAAATTAAACCAAAAGTTGTAAAAACTATAACATGACTTCTTTTCATTTCATTTTTCTTACAATTAATTTTGCTCGTTAAGCGAGGTTCAATGAACATAATCTGATTCTCAACTTTATCACAGTTACTAATAAATTAGTTATAATTATAAAAATTGTTAATAATAATAATTCATACATTTTTCTTAAAAATATAGCAAGAACAATCAATTATTGAAGATGAAGTTTATAGAATATTAATATTTATAGCGATTATAATTTACGTGTCGGAATTTAAGGTAATAAAATTGGAACATAATGAATGCATAAACGTGAAAAATGTTTGGTGCCAAGTTACCAAATTTGGTGTTGATTTTACAGTGAGGACAATTATGGCGTTTTGTTCGTTTCTTCTGAACGTGTATATGGGTGTTTTTGGTCGAGGAACCAACACTGATTTACCGGTCCGCGCACCGGTCACATTATAAATTACCGGCAATTTCCGACGCCCCAGGTATATTATAATTTTGACCCGGTCCTTTTTAATTGCGGACGAAATTAAACAATGTTACCACCCGTCAGTGCCTTTTCTGGCATGCAATTACACAGTACAGGTTCACTGCCGAGGATGAGTAGTTTCACCATTAAAATCGTTCTCGATGTTTTCCCATGTTCATCATCTTGCGGCTATTATATTTCATCGTCTTCTGCTGCAGCCGTTGGTGAGGACGTGTAAACCGCAGTCCGAGCAGAGCATTTATTAATAAGCGCGTTTAATAATAGAACATTAATATTAGAAA